GGGTGCTAACTTGAAATCACTTTTTCTGATTGAAATTTTGTTAGTCGCATCAAAAACTATGAATTAGAGACTAATTTGTACCCAAATTAGATTTTCATTCTTTAAACAATTTATACATTGTTTAAACAATTTTTTACTAAAAAAGGGCAATTCTCGGAAATAATAAAAATAAATGGAACGTATCAATTAAAGACTAATTTGTACCCATAACATTAGAATTTAAATCCGCTTAGTTCCGCCGCAAACCCAATTCTAAGGTTCAAGTTAGCACCCCCACTTTTCCCGATTGAAATTTCATTAGTCACATCAAAAACTATGAATTAAAGACTAATTTGTACCCAAATTAGATTTTCATTGTTTAAACAATTTATGCATTATTTAAACAATTTTTTTCTAAAAAAGGACAATTCTCGGACTTGTAAAAAAAATGGAACGTGTAAATTAAGGACTAATTTGTACACAGAAACATTTTTTTTGTAAACGAATTAACTGTTCGGAAGTCGTTTGAACCAGGGCGCAAGCTGGGAAGATGCTATCAGTAACGATCCTTGAGATTGTTTATAATTTTGTATTGCTGTCTGCCTAACTGTCCGTTTGTCTGTCTGTCCATGTGCACAATAACAATAACTGTTTAGTAACGCCCGATCGGTTTGAAAGTTAGTAAACCCGGTCTTAAGAATATAAAAAAGGTCAGTATTGTTTGTCAGAGACGTATAGACTATTGGCCGCCCGAATATGAATAATTTTTTTTAAGTAGTATCTGTTTTTAATGGATTTACATTATAACTCTATCAATATATTTGACAGGACATCTGAGGGCATAATGAGATGACAGTCCATTATGCCCTTTCATTAAGCTCTAGGACATCATGGACTGGTTTATACATCTCATATGACAGATATAATTAGCATATAATACGCAAATGAAAATTACATACATTTAATTAATACATATTTGATATTTCATATTGACAGACGTCTGCCAATCAAACGTTTTTCAGCAATTTCTGGAACATTACATAATATATGATACTAAGCGAATAAACAACGTCTGTGAATGTGCTAGCATCCTATTATTTTTTCTCTCCAATATTATATTAAAATTGATAGCACACGTTTATCAATAAACTTGTGTCTGCCTTGTTGTCAAAATTTCAAAAATTACAAAAAAAAGAACGGACCGCTCAACAGACGTATGATATGCTTTATACACTAGTTCTAGCCTATTTAAAGAGAAAATTGCGGTGACAGATGTTTAAAAATCAACACACAAGATCTGTCGTTATCCCACGGTCTATATATATTTTCGAACCAAAAATCCTCGTAACTTATTAAATGAGTCAACGCATAAATATGAATCTAGAGGACTGAATCTCCACATCCCACTCCACCGCCTATCTATTACCAATAAATTACCACTAGTGCGGACTATAAAACTGTTTATACTGTTCCAGTTTAAGAAAAAAGTAAAAAAGGGCATATAATCTTGAAGAGCGTTAATGTATGTTAAATGTAGTTTTTATCATTTTTATGATCTTTGTTTATGTATATTGTAGCGAATATTCTAGAAATCGCGATAGACATCGAGGGGCCATAAAAGATTAGTCATCGGCAATATGAAACGCAAGCGGATGTGACGCATTTTTTCCAGGAAATATGACGTGTTTGTTTGTTCGAGAACATTCTAGAATATTCGGGAGCATTCGGAAGTGTTCGAGACCTTTCGAAAAAGACCGGCGTTTGCGATATAAGCAAATAGAATTGTGGTTTGAGTCAGTTCTAACATCGATTCGAAGTGAAGTATTAAGCTCCCCCTCGTGTTATATTATATATTGTGAGTGATAAATAGGACTTAACTATTACAAAGTAAGTAAGAGTGTTATAAATGCATTGTTTGTACCCACGAGGAAATTGTAACGTGTAAACACACGTGCATGGTCTTATAATCAAAAGTCTCATCGAAAGGAATTGGTTCTACAAACTTTCACTTTCATCCACGACTCCTTTTTAAGATGAGTAGGTGGCGGGGCGAGGGAGTGGGGGTTAGAAATTTATTTTATCTTTCATGCTATTGCAATTTATTTTTATTTATTATTATCATTGTCCCTCTCTCGTTCTGGGCCCTCAACAGGCTTGCGCCCAATTACAGAATGACCCGCATAACGCTTTACTGAAATGTCTCAACGAAAGGAATTAGTTTATACCAACCACTGTCCTCCTCGACTTCTTAAAGTGATTGGTTCTAATATCTATAGAGCGAAGTGTCGGAGGAAGGTATTCACAAAGGGCAATTGGTTCGTTTGGAAGAAATATATCCATTGGTGATGTCAAATTTTTAGGATCGAATATCTCGAAAAGTATCAGAACCGGATATCCATAAAGGGCAAGGAGAACGCCTGGCCAAGACACATCCACTACTGACCACTTCTAACTTGATTTCAAGTTAGCACCCCCACTTTAAAAATCGGTTTTCCGGCGGAACTAAGCGGGTAAAAATTCTAATTTTGTGGGTACAAATTAGTCTTTAATTATTCCCTAATTATAGGCATATTTTTACTTGATTTGGGCAAAGTGGGTGGGCCAACTTTATCGACCTGTTGACAGTCATGGTGACTGGGAGCTTTGAAAAGTAAAGGCCACTATCGTGTTTAACCCTTGTTTAAATGTAATGATGTCTCTCCTTATCTAGAATTTTAAATTAACGCGGCTAAATGGGTTGTGATCCCAATAAAAGCCATAAAAAAAGTTTTTACACTGACCAACTTATACAGAGTCCTGTCACGGTTAAATCCCCGAAAAACTACCCGTCTTACAGGGAAATTCTATGTAATTGATATCAAATACAACTGCCTTTATTTGTCTGCCATAAAAACTTTATTTTTACAAAGCACACTCACATTAACGCAACAACCATACACAAATTAATATAGAACTACACGGATGAACGGTTTCAAAATAGAAATCCGTAAATCAGTGTCCAGCGGGCACGGTATTGACATAATCGCGAAAGCGAACTGGCATATCTTAGCACATTATATTAAAAGCAATTTCGCATCGATGCATTCTATGGGAAATAACGTAACAAAAAAAAAGAAGTGATAAATCAAATCGTTTGCTTTTGATTCTGAATGGCACAGTGGTAGTAGGTATTTTCACTTTTGGTATAACCTTTCAGCACGGTAGATGTTGTTTGAGTAGTTTAAAAAGGCCTCCAGACCGGAGATGGTGTTCTCCGTACTGCACTTATCTTTTTATATCTGCTGTTCACCGTCGTTCCCTTTAGATATATTTCAGTCAGGTGTTTCAAGCACTCCACAGAGTTACACAGTGGGTTAAGCGTGTCACATTGTCGGATTTCTCAGTCGGGTTCCCTTAGGCTCATAATTTCCCTCAAATTAACACCTAGGGTCTGTACACTGTTAACTATTCTAATTTAACGTGACAGTTTTGCAATATCGACCCGCCGCTTCGAAAAATTAATCTCGACACAAGTATTAATATGAATGGCTTAATCTTGACAAGTTTTTGTTGGAGAAAATAGCATTTAAGTGCACTTTTTTGATATGCGTCAGTCATAATTTTTGTCAACTCCGACAGCCATGTCCGTGTTCATAACACATCTACGACGGAGAGAGTTTGCCCAGATGGTGCCGATCATCTTCCATCGTCTCGTATTATAATGAAGCTCAAAATTAATTTCGAAAGTGTGGAGGTTGGTCGGGGAAAAAACGGAATCATTATTTACGATAAGATTTTTGAATGTAGCGCGGTAATTAAAGTTTCCCTTTTGTCAGCGTTTTCCATTATTTAAAGGTAATTAGTATAACATGGGGTAAACTGTTGATAGTAAATTCAGTGTAAGCTTGATAAACGTAGGGGTAATAATGTGTATCGCACGTGTGATGTGTTCTTTCACAGGTCACGCGTGCGTCCCGACGCTAACATCTCGGTTATAACGCGACTGCCTACACTTTTAATCCTCGAATGTGCACATTTTGTTCGGAAACAGATTCGTTTATTTATCGTTTCCCAATTGATTAGCGGTAATTGATGTGACAAATGCGGTCGGTATCTGTTGTCGCGTTCATTCCTTTAGCTACCAATACAATTTATTCGGTCTTATAAAAGTAAAAACCTCAATCCATCACTGGGGGAAGGGTCGCAAGTTTTCAATTAGAATTTAAAGTCGTACACCAAAAATAAATTCTTTCGGGACAGTAAGAACTTGGAGAGTTACGACGGAATTTAATGCAGGCAAAATTTTCTCGATTACTATTAAATAATGGGTCCGCTGATTCTAAATCTATTTTGAATACAGTACAACGTAGCCTTCCAAGAGATAAAACTTGTCAACGAGCAAAGCCTAGAGCTAACAGAAACAAGAATTAGAATGAAAAAGCAGAGCCTACATGCGAAGATTTCTCAAGATTGAGAGATCTGCATGGCAATATATAGATGTCGAATCGGAATATATCTAAACACGTTTCGCCGAATGAGACTTCTGTTTGAAATTCACTGTGGATGGTACTTTTCATTTTCTCCATCCGTTATTTGCCACATTGCATTAACGCCTTTCATTTACTGCCCACCCCAATCTCGGCTTGATGACAAATTGTTCGTAGTCGTGGCTTTCCCATTATCCTAGCTTTAAACTTGAATACTTCCTTAATTCATTGGTCATTAAGAATCGCCGAGTATTTGCTCGCGAGCTCTATACTGATGATCTCTGTTCGTGGCATAATTCAAGAATATCTCGTTAAAGAACGCGGCTGGCGCGGGTGGTCCGTAACGACAATCCGCGATGCGCCCCGTTCGCTATTAGCTGAGATGCACGGATAATTTATATTCGGCGAGCAATGAAGTAAAGACGATGGGCGGCCGGCGCGGCGCTGAAACAGTTGCGGTACGGACCTAATGAGGTTTCCCGCGTTACTGCCGCACCGGCTGTGCCGCAAAGACATCCTGATATCAATATCAATCATTATATATTTCTGTTTCAGGATCATCGGTAGATGTGAATAACAATATCAGCAAGCCCTTTGTATAAGCACCTTTCAATATGGCAAAGACCTGCATCATCGCTGCTGTATTGGTTTTCGCCTTTCTTACATATGGTAAGCTTTCACGTTTTTATTGCTTTTTGAAGGTTTCTAAATATCAAGAATAGTTTAGCAAGACGCGAAACTCCTTACTTTGGAGTAACTCTACTTACCAAAGTTTCGCCACCTTTTCATTACTGTAGACTAGGCCATTACAGAGTTGGAGAGTGGAAAACCTCCTCATTGATCATTATTACAAACTCGCCATAATCTAAAAGTAAAAAGTTTAATAATCGTACTCATTCGCCCCAACTACTTATGGAATTCCTAACGATCGGTACCATATTTATAAGTGCTTCCTTCAAAAAGATTTATGGCACTATCTAATAACTATGAGGAAAGAATCAACGCTTTCTATAAATGCATTGTCCACATTTTCCAGTGTTGCCCTTAAATTTTATATCCATTTAAATACAGACATTGATTCGTAATCTGATGCTGAAGCACATGGTACTGCAGTAGCATTATATGCGTGCGTGATGGTAGCCAGTACAAGATAGCCGTACCCGCCAGTACTCTGTAGTACCGCGTGAATATTATTTTAAAATGACAAACATAATTTGCTTCCTATTAAGGACGCCGATATATTGATTTACTGACTGGCAGTATTTTGCAGCTTTACTGCTTTTTGGGTACTGACTATATACATAATCAGTTTTTTGATACACCTAAGGGTTGCTTTGTACTGACTACTATGCAAATGCCGCTAGCCAGTACACGAGAAATTGATAAACAGGAGTTCCATGTAGTACTAATTAAGGATTGATTAAATGTACATTCATTATTAGCATTCCAGGGCTACAAGGACGATTGCTTGTTGCCTGGTGGGTTATCTTCCTCGATTGGATCTTGTTGGTCACTTCTTCTTTACAACTACTTATCCGTATTTTCTTAAGGTCTTGTTCAATTTGTTCCTTTCATCTACTTTTTGGTCCCCCTCTTCTTCACTGGTGTTAAGTATTCTTTTTGTGTTTGGCATTCTTTCCACGTGTCCTAGCCAACTTGGTTTTTTGTATGTATTACTCCTATTATGCTTGGCTAATTGTATAGTTCTTTCTCTTCGTCCGTTCTTCTTGACCATACGCCATTTGTTGTTTTTCCTCTAAATATTTTCCTTTCCCATATCATCAATCTGTTCCTTGGCATCCATTGCCCTTGTTTCGTTGCCATAACTTAGTATTGGTTGTATTACTATCTTGTATACGTGTATTTTCTTGTCAGAGTTCTATTTGACGCATATGTGCCATTATTCATTGTTTCTCGGCTTAATTACGAAGAGCGTTCCTAAGTATATTTTCGAATAAGTGCACTCCTGCTGCAACGTCTACTCTGAATTTTTCTCCTTCTTGGAGATTACCATCTGTCCATTCCATATATTTTGTTTTCGTATCATTTATGTACAGTCCTATTTTCTTTGCCTCTTTGTGTTGTGTTTGCTATCATTCCACGTAATTCCTTTCCGTGTTTATTGCCACGTCGTCTGCGAAATAGAAACATCGATTTTTTTCCTTTGTGACTTTTTGCTTCGCGTGTGACTATTTCTAGGCAGACATTAAACAACGTGGATGACAGTGGATCACCCTGTTTTAAGTCGTCAGAAAAATTAAGGCGAGGTACACACTGGTGTCTAAGACATCATGTCTAAAAAAATCCCGCCGTAAATTTTCTGATGACTCATTCCTCATTGTGACTGTTCACTGTGTTTTGTAATGTTACCATTCCTTAACTTCCCACTATTCCCAACTCCGTGACTGTTTCGTACATTTCTTTCCTTTTAATTGTGTCGTAGGCCAGTTTAAAGTGAATGAAGATTGCTAGCGTTGGTATATTGCCTTCGTAACTTTCTGCTTGTAAATCTCTTAGTGTAAATTTGGTCGATTGTTCTTCTACCACGTCTAAATCCGCACTGGTATTCGCCTAATACTTGTGCAATCTCTTCTTCCAGCCTGTTCTTTATATACTTTGCTAGAATCTTGTAGACAGTATTGAGTAGCACGATTCGTCTGTACTTCTGGCAGTTTATCTCCCTTTTTGTGCAAAATGCTTTTCTCCATTCTCCATATTTGTTCTTCTAGTGCTCTCCCTTTAAAGTGATAATTTCAACTGTTATGTCCTGCACTCTTGTTTCTTTTTCGATTTTTGAAGTGAAAGTTCTTTAGGCCCGGTAGTAGGCCAGGTAAGGTAAGTTGAATGCTACGAGCGCCAGCGGTCACGGTCACGAAAATAGTGAAACACTCGGAGGGGAATCAGTGGAGAGAGCAAGGGTTCCCCAAACCTCACGGTGGAAGTCGGAGCAGGGCCGGTGCGCGAGGCCAAAATGAGCGCGGGACATAAGGGCGCGAGGATATATGGACGCGGGACAGAGTATTCTCTAAAAATATATGTTGTAGTTAGTTTGTGTTGATATTTTATACTAACAGCCATTACACAGAGCGTTTGAGATACAAATTTTTTACAGAATACTTTTGTTCGCGTCCTTTTGTCCACGCGCCCTTGCATCCCGCTTAAGTCCTCGCGCCCTTTCGTCGGCGCCCTAATGTCCTAGACCGGTATATCTATTAATTTATCTTGGGGTGTTTTGGTGTTTCTGATTCATCTGGTTCATCGTAGTTGTATCATTTATCAGTTATCGTGGAAGTCCTCTTTCCATCTGGATAGAATTTCTTTTTCTCCGCTGATGGTGTACCCTTTCTTTATCTCGAACAAAAATGGTCTTTTACTAGCATCATCTTCCTTTCGTACTCCTTGGCTTAAGTTTCTGAGTTCTCTTGTGTATCTTTGAGTTTCTCCTCGATGTATTTCCTCTTTTTTGTTCTTAATATCTTTCTTTGTTTTTGGTATGTGTCTTTTGCTGCTGTTGTTTCTTTTGTCAACATCTCCAATTTTCGTTTACTTCTTTCTTCTATCTCCCTTTGGCACTCTTTATGAAACTACGCTTTTCTCCTTCTTTTACTGTAACGAGTACTATTTTACCGTAAGAAAAGTAACATTTCTTTTGCTTTTTTGTTTAACAGTTATTTAATTTTTTTCGTCTTCTATTTGTCCTTCAAGGTGTAATTTTTTTGTTTCCCTTTTAACTGTTTGTTTATATTTTTCTTGTTCTTCTTCTGATATTAGTGTTATTATTCCGTTCACCCTTCTGTTTCTTGTTTTTTGTTTTTATTTTCCAGGATTTTTGACTTCTACCATAAAATGATCTGAGTCCGCATTTGGTCCTCTGCAAGTTCCTATATTTTTTAAACATTTTTTTCTTCCTGCTCTATGTGATCGATTTGATTCGTCGTCTTTCCGTCGAGAACTCTCCACATTCCTTTATGTATTTCTTTACTTCCAAAGTAGGTACTCGTTATAATGATCTTTCTTTCTTTGGCGAAATCTATCAAACATTGTCCATTTTCGTTACTGTCTTTATGCTTGGTCAACTTTCCATTTGTTGGTCGTTTTCGACTGCCCTATTTTCTCTTCTCTTCCTTTCCCTTTCGGTCGACTATTTTTAAATGTTTCTTCGTCTCCTCTTGCCGTTTTTCTCTGTCTATTCGTTTTGTTTTTCTTGAAGACTTAAATTTTGTTAATATGAGAAATTCGGCGGCCTTAACCGCTTCCCCACAATTCCAAAGAATTATTTAACGAGCTTTTAATGACCATCTAACATAATCTTGGGTGCGAATAGAACATGTATCATGAGAACTCCTATATCCTGGGCTCAATTAAACACACAGCTGATAATTTACACACGACCCAACTTTATATGAAAGTCACTCAGGGCCTGAGGGCAAATACCACGCAAATGCGATCGATTGAAACAAATTGTATTTAAAAGAAAATTCCGATTATACTTCGGAATCTTCCCTTCTTTACTTTCACTTTATTCTTGATTTAACTAACGAACTCTTTATCGCATGACCAGATTTAAATGAGATAAACCTTTAAAAAACACTTATTTCCAGATGTCCCTAATTTTTCTCAGACCTAATCTACTGAACAAATAAAAATCAAAATTCAAGGCGATTATTTCCACAAACAATTCTAATACATATCCTGGTTATCAATTTTCCGTTTGGACAGTGTAGCCAGTACAAGTCAATCCTTAAGGGTATCAGAAAACTGATTGTGTGTATAATCAGTAGGTGCCCAAGAAGTACAAAATAGTACTGTTGCATATTAATGTGCCGGTTATCGATATCCAGTGTACTGGCTAGCCTCCAAATACCTCCAGCCAGGAGGCCATGTTTTTGTCATTTTGACATACATGGATTGAAAGCGGTTTTCAAACTTTCCCTTTTTGTACAAGTTTTCTGTGTCCAATCAAATACATTTTTTGAATATGAAGCAAAGTGCGAAGAATCTGTATTAATCCATATTTTTAATAATTTCCTATTTCCCTCAATAGTTTCAGTTGTGTTTACATTTTTAATTTCTCATTTCAACCCATCAGCTAACAAACAATTGACCATATACATTTTGACGGCGATTTCTATTGAACGAGGGTAGTAGAAAAAGCTTTTTTTATTGTAAAAGACGGTGTCCAAAGATTGCCCTTTTCTATGGGTTGTAAGCACTAATTATTTATTACATGCCGGATTCGCGGTTTAATTGTGCTTCATTCATTCGACATGGTTGCGTGTTAATCAACAGCGTAGGTACCGCAAAATTTAAATTTATATAAATTCGAAGGCATCATACAAATCATCATCAAGCTGTCAACAAACGACAAGGAAAAGGAAGAGGAATCACTAATCCACATGTCCAGCTTAAATCCACGTAAGATTTCTTTATTTTTTTTTTATTTTTATCGTTAAGGTTTGAACTGACGTACACTTGACATCGACTGACAATAGGATTTAAATAAAAAAACGCGGAACAATATTATTTCAAAATTTCATTGTTATAGGTTAGATACAGAACCAGGTTTTGAAGCGATCGGGTTAAAGCGGTTCAAAATCAAATGCACTTAGATTGGAATGAATAACGATTATTGAGATCTTGGCTGTGACCAATCGCTTTCAAACACTATTACTTCTCAAACTGGTTCAACTAATGTTAAGTTACCGAAACTAACAATTTCGGCAGATGTTCAAAAACTGCTCTACCTACGATCCGCTTTAAAAAATTAACCTTCAAGTCCGATTGAAACATCCGATGCAAATTATAAGATCGCGTAGACATCGTTAGAAGACAGATATAATAACAAAAGACGGAATCTACACAATAATGTAAGGAAAATTCCGAGATAGAAACTGTCACTGTGGCCGTATTAAGGCAATTAATTGAGAATTTACAAAAACTGTTAAAGACCACCCAACGAAAGTTTGACGCTCTTTTGTATTATACTTCCTAAATAAGATCTTGGCATAATTAGAGAGTACAGTACAGTACCGAAGGGATTTCATTTTTAGCGCTGGTGTATCCTTTAAATACAATTGATCAAAGAAACAAAAATATATGATCCGCACACAAAGTTACAACCCTCGTAATTAAATACTGAAAAGCATGTAAGAACGCTATTAGCCACTCGTCTTTGTTCCATTGAATGAATATCAAAACGTCCTGAGAAAAACCACGTTGCGGATATTCGCCATCAATTTTAAAAGCAATGTATTATACCATGAATGTATTTTAAAAATCTTCGTTGAATATTCTCAATATCGTTTTTATACAGGGTCCCGTGACTCGATGGACATAGTTTAACACCATGTTCCTTGCTCAATTTTAAGTCGAAATTTCCATAAGGACTTTGTCCAAAACTCAATAGTTAAGAAGTTATGGGCAATATTAAAATTAACAATAAATCAATCGAGTAGGCGATGTAATTGTTTTGTCATATTGTTATGGCGACATTGTTAATTCTTTGACCTTATAATTTTAAGATTCAATTGGTTATACGTTTTCAAATCAAGAATATGCGGATATTCACTTATACTGTGACGGAAATGCAAGTTAGTCCTACTTAGCCCTATATGAAATTATGGGGCTTTTGACGATTAAATCAAGCCGCGTTGCACGATTTTTAGAAGGGGAGCCATCCGCCCTCCTCTGGGAGAGGGAATATTCACCCAAAAGGGAACACTAATTACCAAAATTTTTGACTACACATATAGGTAAAAAGGTACAATCCACTCTCTCATTTCCATAGCAACAGAGTACATCATCAAAATATTTAGTCATACATATCCTTAGACCCCTTTGTTAAGACTTAGAGCCAACCATTTGAAACAGGTGACCATTGGGACAAACCGAAAAGTGATACTCCCCATTAGGAGAGGAGGTGAGCCATCCTTAAAACTGCACTTTTGGTTTATAAAATTATACAGGGTAAGCAAATTCCCTACTAACTTTTATCTTTACTGGAACTTTAAGCCGAATAATCAGCTTTTTCAGATGAGATATATTTATAAAACACTAACAAATTAATTAATTAAATTTATATTTCTTAATCAAAATCGATATGCTCATCTTCATTTGACCTAAAAATATATTATGGAGATATTCTTAGTGTTATTATTAATTAATTGTATAACATGAAAATACTTACTATAAAGTACATCTCAAATTTGGGGATTTACATGAACATTTTACAGAAGAACGTCACTTGCAGTTGCATTTAGTCAATACTTCGATTCCTTCATAAACTGCTGACTTGGTGGTCTATATGGGCAACCAATGATCATCCATCCATCTCCAACCCCAATATTTTGGAGAAGAATTTTGGATCAAATTGTTGAAATTACCCCCCACGGCTGTTAGCTGTAAATTCAAGATTTCCTTACTGTATTGTAAAGTAGTAACTCCTTTGCCTTTGAGAGTAAACGATGAAACGCTGTTGCAGCCTATAAAGGCACGAAACCTGATCCTGATCCATTCTTTACAGCCAGGGGAGAGGATTATAATTTCTTTTTGACCGAACATGTTTTTAAGTAAGGTTTTTGGTGTTTTCGTAAACATATCTGTCAATGTCAACTCGAGAAACTTGCGGCTACAGTGTTGCTTCAGACTGATTTTAACAGTTGTAAGGGTATTGCTACCCTAATGAAATAATTTATTCAATAGTATAGCAATGATCAATCACAGCAAATGTTTTAGACAGGGCATAATTATCACTAGCCGTCCACTTTTCATTTAAACCACTTAAAATATTTATCATCTCAAGCACATCGTTTTATAGTCTCAATTAATCAATTACAATTAAATGTCGATAAAACCAACATCGTTATATTCGGGAAAGCAGTTTAAAAGTTTAAATGTTTTTCTGACTACTACTACTACATTAGAAACAACGACTCTCACCTCTAAAAAGGGTGAAGAAAATGTGATTTTCGTCTCTAGTGAGGAAAGTAAAAAAACAATTCCTGCGTTAATCTTACTAATGACATTTAAAATTGAAACACACGCGGTGTCCATACGATAATTTTTCAATTTTGATTGTAGTTTCAGAAAAAAATATGTGTAAAACTTGAGAAGAGTGTGTTTTTCAACTCTCGTTAAAACGTTGAACTCGAGTTGAAAAACTCCACTTTCTTCTCTAGTTGTTCATACGTGGAAAATTTTAGGCCTTGAATTTTAATGAAATGGTGCCAGCATAGCTCATCCTTACTTTTAAAACTAAATAAAGCTTTCTTTCCCCAACCGTGACGTATCACTATGACACATTATGGAGTGTGGTCTTTTGGGAAAACTCAAACCTTACGAGTAGTATATTCAAGCTACAGAAAGGAGCCCTTTGTATTCTGGTTGGATCGTATATAATTTGTGATTATTGAATGTGCTTATTTGCCAATTTATTTTAAGTTTTGCGGGATCCCGCAAATACCGGGATTGAGATTTTGCTGCGGAATTACATTCCGTAATATGGACCTTTCGTACTGGAATATAATTTGTCAAATAGTAAAGAAACGTTTTGTTTAATTTTTCTGGAAGGCTATCGAATTCGGAAATTTGGTGCCATCATCTATCTTTGTAAGAAATTCATAACTTGTTCCCCACCAATTCTATTCTATTCGCAGGGGAGCCCGACCGGGCAGCACTTAGGCACACCAGAGGCCCATTGTGCCTACCCCCTTTCTTCGCAACTGAGTTCAGAGCCCGTTCCTCTCAATGAAGGATAGGACCCTGTTTAGCCTAAGTTGCTTCACCCTCTTCGGTTCCAGGTATCTGTCTCCAAGGAGTTGATATCTGTCCCTGATCAAAGCGTCACAGTGACAGACCACATGCTCGGTAGTTTCATCTGCCTCGCCACAGAACCTGCACGTTGACTCCTCCGCGAGCCCAATGTTATGCAGGTGATAGTTGACCATCCAGTGTCCCGTAAGGACACCAGTGATCTTCCTAAGCTGGCTTCTATTCAGTTTTAGAAGCTTAGAAGACCCCGATTTGCCAACGGGCCCTGTTAGAAAGGCCTTGGACTGTCGGAGTCCGGTTACTTGTTGCCACTGAGCCTGGAATTGACTGGTCAACCAGTCTTTAATCCTGGCCCTAACAACGGAGGGAGCAATCCCTAGGGTAGGCTCGGGCCCGACGAAGACCCCACCACTGCCTTCGCGAGCCAACTCGTCCGCCCTTTCGTTGCCCCCTATTCCGCAGTGCGCTGGCACCCAAATCAAGCTTACCCTATTAGACTCACCTAATCTATCTAGGGTTCGCCTGCAATCAAGCGCCGTAGCTGATCGGAACCTGTCTACCGACAGGGCCCTCAACGCCGCCTGACTATCACTGCATATGTATATATGCTTGTTACGGTAACCTCTACGGAGGTTTTCCTGTGCACAGGTCATGATGGCTAACATCTCTGCCTGAAACACGGTGCTATGCTGACCAAGGGAGACGCTGACGCTGGCTCTCGGTCGATCACCATATATACCCATGCCCGTTCCCCTTTCTGTTTGGGACCCGTCTGTAAACCACACGAGCCCCTCAGGTTTGAGGAACGAGCAATCCGAGTTCAGCCACTGCTCCCTATCCGGGAGAATGACTTTATAACGCTTTGGTCTTAGCAAGATAGCCCGGATCACGTCCCTCCTTGCAAGGAGGGGATCGGTTCTGAGGGTTTCCTCCCAGATCCGCCCGTGCCCAAGGCTGCCTCGATCCTTCCATTCATCCCAATCGTTTAGCCGTATGGAAGCTTTCCGAGCCTCTGCCTCCACAGCTAAGTGTAAAGGCTCTAGTCCCAGAAGTGCCTCCATGGCCAAGGTTGGCGTGGTTTTTAGGGCTCCAGTGACTCCCAGACAGGCGAGTCGCTGGACCTTTCCTAGCTGCTTCCTGTAGGTTACCCTGCGCATGGCAGGCCACCATACAAGTGCACCATACAGTATTATTGGCCTTATCACTGCAGTGTAAAGCCAGTATACCAATCGAGGGTTAGCGATACAAATGCAAAATGGCTTGAAAAATCAACTTTTACTTTAAGCCTTCGCGACCGAGTACGTTTTGACTTTGTGAAACGAAAATGTGTCCGATTTATTATCATTTGAAGAATCATTATGGAAATAGTTTTTTTGTTTCATAAGTACGAAAAATGTGCGTTTTCAGGACGAGGAAGGCTGCGGGACGACGCGTCACTCTTCTCCGACAAAGCTTACCCTAAGGTATGCGCATTGAATAAGGGCGCAAACAAACAATTCTCATTTCAAAGAAATTTGGTATCTGGTTTCTAATGGAAAAATTACGAATTCCAATTTAATTTTTGATTAACCTTAGAAGAACACTGCACCAGGTTCACGGTATTAAAATTCTCGTTCGAAATGCGGTTTTTTAAACGCACCCCTCTCAAGTTTCTTA